GCGCGGGGGGGGGGGGGGGAGCCCAGAGATGGGGAGAGGGTGGCGGAGGGGACCAGGCCCCCCATAATGTGTGGGGAGCACCTCACGCCCCCCCAAAACTCATCCCGCGGCCGCGCACTCCACTTCATTCTCCTTAAAACCACCCCGCGCTGTCAGCGCCTTAATTACACCCCTCTCCCAAATTAATAGGCCTGAGGGGGGACAGCTGGGGACCGGGATGTGTCCCTCGTCCTTCGGGGGGAGTTGATTTTGGGTGGGAGCCCCCAGGGGGTGATGCCCCTTTGGCTCCGCTGCTCCTTCGGGTACCGCCGGGCAGGGATGGGGCTGCTGCTCAGCGAGGGTTGGGGGGCGATGGGGATGCTCCAGCTCGTAGTGACCCCACAAAAGCCTCCACCTGCAGGGAGAAGCCGAGTGAGAGCATGGCACCAGGATGGCATCAGGATGGCCGAGGTTTACTGAATTTCACTGAATTTTTAGAGTTGGAAGGGACCATAGAGATCATCTAGTCCAACTCCCCTGCTGAAGCAGGATTGCCTAGAGCTAGAGCATGTTACTCAGGAGCATCCAGGCGGGTCTTGAAAATCTCCAGAGAAGGGGACTCCACACCCTCCCTGGGCAGCCTGTTCCAGGGCTCTGTCACCCTCACCGTGAAGAAGTTTTTCCTCATATTCAAGTGGAACCCTTTCTGTTCCAACTTGTGCCCGTTGCCCCTCGTCCTCTCACTGGGAACCACTGAAAAGAGTCTGGCTCCCTCCTCCTTCAACCCTCCCTTGAGACACTTGTAGGCATTGATAAGGTCTCCCCTCAGCCTTCTCTTCTCCAGCCTAGAGTCCCAGCTCTCTCAGCCTCTCCTCATAAGGGAGATGCTCCAATCCTTGAATCATCTTTGTTGCCCTTCGCTGGACTCTCTCCAGCAGTTCCCTGTCCCTTTTGAACTGGGGAGCCCAGAACTGGACGCAGGATTCCAGTTGTGGCCTCCCCAGTGCAGAGCAGAGGGGGAGAATGACTTCCCTTGACCTGCTGGCCACACTCTGCCCTACGCAGCCCAGGATTCCGTTGGCCTCTTGGCCACAAGAGCACACTGCTTGCTCATTGGCATTTTACTGTCCACCAGGACCCCTAGATCTTTCTCTTCAGAAGTTGCCTCCAGCAGGTTTACCTCTAACCTGTACTGGTACCTGACATTCTTCTTCCCCAGGTGCAGGACCCTACACTTTTCCCCGTTGAACCTCATGAGGTTCTTCCTTGCCCAGCCCTCCAGCCTGTCCCAGTTTGGACCAAGGACGTGGCAATTGGTTTTTTTCCATGGGAAAATGAAGACCAAGGGGAGGCTCGGGGGGGTCAGCACGACCCCGACCCCGGCGCTCCCGGCAGGGGGATGGCACCGCGCCGTGCCACCGTGCCCACCTGTGCCATGAGGATGCCCTGCGCGGCCACGTCGTGCTCAAAGTCCTTGTCCACATCCAGCACCAGGACGGGCACGTCCTTCATGTCTGCAAAGTGGACCCTGAAGAAGGGAGGGAGAGAAGGGGCTCAACCAAATAACCCCCCCTCCACACACACACACACACATCAGGGGGAGTCACCCCAAAACCACAGCGGGTCCGGGTGCTGGGGGGAGCGGGGATGGACTGGGACTCACTCCGTGGTCTTCTCCACCAGCCAGCGCTCGTGCTGGGCATGGAGCTGTTGCAGGTATTCCAGCCGGATCCCCCCCTCCTCGCTCCGCGCCCTCCGACGCAGCCGCTCCAGGCACGTCTGCGCCCGCACGGAGACGGGAGGTTAACGGGGGAAACGGGAGGCAGGAGGTTAGTGGGATGTGGGAGAGACAGGAGGTTAACGGGATGTAGGGAGGTAAATGGGAGATGGGAAGTTAACGGGATGCAGAAGGGTTAACAGGGAAATGGGAGACAGGAGGTTAACGGGATGCAGGGAGGTTAACCAGAGAGATGGGAGGTTAAGGGGATGTGGGAGAAATGGGACGTTAACAGGATGCAGGGAGGTTAACGGGAGAAATGGGAGACGGGAGGTTAATGGGATGTGGGAGAGAGGGGAGGTTGACGGGAGAGATGGCAGGTTAAGGGGATACAGGGAAGTTAACGGGAGAAATGGGAGACGGGACGTCGACGGGATGCAGGGTGGTTAATGGGATGTGGGAGAGAGGGAAGATTAACAGAAGAGATGGCAGGTTAAGGGGATACAGGGAAGTTAACGGGAGAAATGGGAGATGGGAGGTTAGTGGGATGTGGGAGAGATGGGAGGTTAAAGGGATGTAGGGAGGTAAATGGGAGATGGGAAGTTAACGGGATGCAGGGAGGTTAACATGAGAAATTGGCAACAGGAGGTTAACGGGATGCAGGGAGGTTAACCAGAGAGATGGGAAGTTAATGGGATGTAGGGAGGTAAACGGGAGATGGGAAGTTAATGGGATGCAGAAGGGTTAACGGGGAAATGGGAAACAGGAGGTTAACGGGATGCAGGGAGGTTAATGGGATGTGGGAGAGAGGGGAGGTTAAGGCAGAGACAGGAGGTAAACGGGAGATGGGAGGTTAACGGGATGCAGGGAGGTTAACCAGAGAGATGGGAGGTTAAGGGGATGTGGGAGAGATGGGACATTAATGGGATGCAGCGAGGTTAATGGGAGAAATGGGAGACAGGAGATTAGTGGGATGCGGGAGAGACGGGAGGGTAAAGGAATGTGGGAGAGAGGAGATGTTAATGGGACGCGGGGCAGTAAATGGGAGAAATGGGAGACGGGAGGTTAGCGGAATGCGGGAGAGACGGGAGGTTAACGGGATGTAGGGAAGTAAACGGGAGATGGGAAGTTAATGGGATGCAGGGAGGTTAATGGGATGTGGGAGAGACAGGAGGTTGACGGGAGAGATGGCAGGTTAAGGGGATACAGGGAGGTTAGCAGGAGAAATAGAGAGACAGGAGGTTAGCGGGATGTGGGAGAGATGGAAGGTTAACGGGATGCGGGAGAGACAGGAGGTTAAAGGGATGTAGGGAGGTAAATGGGAGATGGGAAGTTAACGGGATGCAGAAGGGTTAATGGAGAAATGGGAGACGGGAGGTTAACGGGATGCAGGGAGGTTAACGGGATGTGGGAGAGAGGGGAGGTTAACGGGAGAGAGGAGAGGTAAACGGGAGATGGGTCATTAACGGGATGCAGGGAGGTTAACCAGAGAGATGGAAGGTTAAGGGGATGTGGGAGAGATGGGACGTTAACGGGATGCAGGGAGGTTAATGGGAGATGGGAGGTTAAGGGGATGTGGGAGAAATGGTACATTAATGGGATGCAGGGAGGTTAATAGGAGATGGGAGGTTAGCAGGATGTGGGGGAGAGGAAACATTAATGGGATGTGGGACAGTAAACGGGAGAAATGGGAGACGGGAGGTTAACGGGATGCAGGGAGGTTAATGGGATGTGGGAGAGAGGGGAGGTTAATGGGATGTAGGGAGGTAAATGGGAGAAACGGGAGATAGGAAGTTAATGGGAGAAACGGGAGATGTGGGTTAACGGGAGAAAGAGGAGAAATGGGAGATGGGAGGTTAATGGGATGCGGGAGAGACAGGAGGTTAACGGGAGATGGGGGGGATGGGAGTTTAATGGGATGCAGGGGGGTTAATGGGAGAAATGGGAGACAGGATGTCCATGGGATGCCGGAGAGACGGGAGGTTAACGGGAGAGACGGGAGGTTAACGGGGTGCAGGCATCAGGCAAAGCAGCCCCAGGGGAGGGCCCGCAGCCGGGCATCCCCAGGAGATGCTGCAGCCCCCCCTCCCCAAAAAATCCACTCCAGGATCCAGAGCAAAACTCCCACCAACATTCCCATGGGAGCGGGCACTGGCCCTGGCTCCTCTGGGCCAGAGATTCACGGTTAAACCCCGACACTTTGGCAATTCCAGGAGCTCGTTGGGCTCTGGGACACTGCGGGGGGTGTCTCTGGCCAGCACCCACCTGTGGCGTGGCCCGCAGGTAGAGGAAGCCGTGGAGGGCGGCGCGGTGGCCCAGCTGCCGCAGGAGGAAGCCGTGCCAGTCCTGGTAGATGGCCCATTCCAGGGGCTGCAGGTGCCCAACCTCAAAGAGGTTCTTGGCAAAGACGTACCTGGGAAGGGAGGGAGAATCATAGAATTGTTCTCTTCTCCAGCCTAGAGTCCCAGCTCTCTCAGCCTCTCCTCATAAGGGAGATGCTCCAATCCTTGAATCATCTTTGTTGCCCTTCGCTGGACTCTCTCCAGCAGTTCCCTGTCCCTTTTGAACTGGGGAGCCCAGAACTGGACGCAGGATTCCAGTTGTGGCCTCCCCAGTGCAGAGCAGAGGGGGAGAATGACTTCCCTTGACCTGCTGGCCACACTCTGCCCTACGCAGCCCAGGATTCCGTTGGCCTCTTGGCCACAAGAGCACACTGCTTGCTCATTGGCATTTTACTGTCCACCAGGACCCCTAGATCTTTCTCTTCAGAAGTTGCCTCCAGCAGGTTTACCTCTAACCTGTACTGGTACCTGACATTCTTCTTCCCCAGGTGCAGGACCCTACACTTTTCCCCGTTGAACCTCATGAGGTTCTTCCTTGCCCAGCCCTCCAGCCTGTCCCAGTTTGGACCAAGGACGTGGCAATTGGTTTTTTTCCATGGGAAAATGAAGACCAAGGGGAGGCTCGGGGGGGTCAGCATGACCCCGACCCCGGCGCTCCCGGCAGGGGGATGGCACCGCGCCGTGCCACCGTGCCCACCTGTGCCATGAGGATGCCCTGCGCGGCCACGTCGTGCTCAAAGTCCTTGTCCACATCCAGCACCAGGACGGGCACGTCCTTCATGTCTGCAAAGTGGACCCTGAAGAAGGGAGGGAGAGAAGGGGCTCAACCAAATAACCCCCCCTCCACACACACACACACACATCAGGGGGAGTCACCCCAAAACCACAGCGGGTCCGGGTGCTGGGGGGAGCGGGGATGGACTGGGACTCACTCCGTGGTCTTCTCCACCAGCCAGCGCTCGTGCTGGGCATGGAGCTGCTGCAGGTATTCCAGCCGGATCCCCCCCTCCTCGCTCCGCGCCCTCCGACGCAGCCGCTCCAGGCACGTCTGCGCCCGCACGGAGACGGGAGGTTAACGGGGGAAACGGGAGGCAGGAGGTTAGTGGGATGTGGGAGAGACAGGAGGTTAACGGGATGTAGGGAGGTAAATGGGAGATGGGAAGTTAACGGGATGCAGAAGGGTTAACAGGGAAATGGGAGACAGGAGGTTAACGGGATGCAGGGAGGTTAACCAGAGAGATGGGAGGTTAAGGGGATGTGGGAGAAATGGGACGTTAACAGGATGCAGGGAGGTTAACGGGAGAAATGGGAGACGGGAGGTTAATGGGATGTGGGAGAGAGGGGAGGTTGACGGGAGAGATGGCAGGTTAAGGGGATACAGGGAAGTTAACGGGAGAAATGGGAGACGGGACGTCGACGGGATGCAGGGTGGTTAATGGGATGTGGGAGAGAGGGAAGATTAACAGAAGAGATGGCAGGTTAAGGGGATACAGGGAAGTTAACGGGAGAAATGGGAGATGGGAGGTTAGTGGGATGTGGGAGAGATGGGAGGTTAAAGGGATGTAGGGAGGTAAATGGGAGATGGGAAGTTAACGGGATGCAGGGAGGTTAACATGAGAAATTGGCAACAGGAGGTTAACGGGATGCAGGGAGGTTAACCAGAGAGATGGGAAGTTAATGGGATGTAGGGAGGTAAACGGGAGATGGGAAGTTAATGGGATGCAGAAGGGTTAACGGGGAAATGGGAAACAGGAGGTTAACGGGATGCAGGGAGGTTAATGGGATGTGGGAGAGAGGGGAGGTTAAGGCAGAGACAGGAGGTAAACGGGAGATGGGAGGTTAACGGGATGCAGGGAGGTTAACCAGAGAGATGGGAGGTTAAGGGGATGTGGGAGAGATGGGACATTAATGGGATGCAGCGAGGTTAATGGGAGAAATGGGAGACAGGAGATTAGTGGGATGCGGGAGAGACGGGAGGGTAAAGGAATGTGGGAGAGAGGAGATGTTAATGGGACGCGGGGCAGTAAATGGGAGAAATGGGAGACGGGAGGTTAGCGGGATGCGGGAGAGACGGGAGGTTAACGGGATGTAGGGAAGTAAACGGGAGATGGGAAGTTAATGGGATGCAGGGAGGTTAATGGGATGTGGGAGAGAGGGGAGGTTGACGGGAGAGATGGCAGGTTAAGGGGATACAGGGAGGTTAGCAGGAGAAATAGAGAGACAGGAGGTTAGCGGGATGTGGGAGAGATGGAAGGTTAACGGGATGCGGGAGAGACAGGAGGTTAAAGGGATGTAGGGAGGTAAATGGGAGATGGGAAGTTAACGGGATGCAGAAGGGTTAATGGAGAAATGGGAGACGGGAGGTTAACGGGATGCAGGGAGGTTAACGGGATGTGGGAGAGAGGGGAGGTTAACGGGAGAGAGGAGAGGTAAACGGGAGATGGGTCATTAACGGGATGCAGGGAGGTTAACCAGAGAGATGGAAGGTTAAGGGGATGTGGGAGAGATGGGACGTTAACGGGATGCAGGGAGGTTAATGGGAGATGGGAGGTTAAGGGGATGTGGGAGAAATGGTACATTAATGGGATGCAGGGAGGTTAATAGGAGATGGGAGGTTAGCAGGATGTGGGGGAGAGGAAACATTAATGGGATGTGGGACAGTAAACGGGAGAAATGGGAGACGGGAGGTTAACGGGATGCAGGGAGGTTAATGGGATGTGGGAGAGAGGGGAGGTTAATGGGATGTAGGGAGGTAAATGGGAGAAACGGGAGATAGGAAGTTAATGGGAGAAACGGGAGATGTGGGTTAACGGGAGAAAGAGGAGAAATGGGAGATGGGAGGTTAATGGGATGCGGGAGAGACAGGAGGTTAACGGGAGATGGGGGGGATGGGAGTTTAATGGGATGCAGGGGGGTTAATGGGAGAAATGGGAGACAGGATGTCCATGGGATGCCGGAGAGACGGGAGGTTAACGGGAGAGACGGGAGGTTAACGGGGTGCAGGCATCAGGCAAAGCAGCCCCAGGGGAGGGCCCGCAGCCGGGCATCCCCAGGAGATGCTGCAGCCCCCCCTCCCCAAAAAATCCACTCCAGGCTCCAGAGCAAAACTCCTACCAACATTCCCATGGGAACGGGCGCTGGCCCTGGCTCCTCCGGGCCAGAGATTCACGGTTAAACCCCGACACTTTGGCAATTCCAGGAGCTCGTTGGGCTCTGGGACACTGCGGGGGGTGTCTCTGGCCAGCACCCACCTGTGGCGTGGCCCGCAGGTAGAGGAAGCCGTGGAGGGCGGCGCGGTGGCCCAGCTGCCGCAGGAGGAAGCCGTGCCAGTCCTGGTAGATGGCCCATTCCAGGGGCTGCAGGTGCCCAACCTCAAAGAGGTTCTTGGCAAAGACGTACCTGGGAAGGGAGGGAGAATCATAGAATTTTCCAGGCCGGAAGGGACCTCCAAAGGCCATCTAGTCCCACCCCCCGCAGTCAGCAGGGACACCCCCAACTAGACCAGGTTGCCCAGGGCCTCATCGAGCCTCTCCTTGAATATCTCCAGGGATGGGGCCTCAACCACCTCCCTGGGCAACCTGTTCCAGTGCTCCACCACCCTCACAGTGAAGAACCCTCTCCTCATCTCCAGTCTAAATCTGTTCCCCTCCAGCTTGAAGCCATTGCCCCTCGTCCTGTCACTGCAGCCCTTTCTAAACAGGCTCTCCCCAGCCTTCCTGCAGCTCCCCTCAGGTACTGGAAGGCTGCTATTAGGTCTCCCTGGAGCCTCCTCTTCTCCAGGCTGAACAACCCCAGCTCCCTCAGCCTGTCCTCGGAGCAGAGGTGCTCCATCCCCCTGATCATCCTTGTGGCCCTCCTCTGGACCCTCTCCATCAGGTCCATGTCCTTCTTATATTGAGGGCTCCAGACCTGCACACAATACTCCAGGTGAGGTCTCACCAGAGCAGAGTCAAGTGGCAGAATCCCCTCTCTGGACCTGCTGGCAACGCTTCTTTTGATGCAGCCCAGGATGGGATTGGCCTTCTGGGCTGCAAGGTCCCACTGCCTGCTCATGTCCAGCTTCTCCTCCACCAGCACCCCCAAGTCCCTTTCCTCAGGGCTGTTTTCCAATACCTCACCCCCCAGTTTGTATTGGTGGTGAGGATTGTTCCAGCCCAGGTGCAGAACCTGAGAGAGGGGGGACAGGGCAGTTGGCACCCCCCAGCACCTCCAGCCACCCCCCACCGGGCCCAGGTGGCTTCACCACCATTTTTTTTTCACCTTTTTTTGTGTGTTTAATTAAGGCGGAAATCCTTAATTTGGGGCTGAGTGATGTTGGGGGACACGCAGCCACCCGTGTCCCCCCCATCACCTAAAGAACATCAAGCCACCGCCCGGCGCTGGTGGGGATGGGGCAGCCACCAGCAAAAATTATTGGGGGGGGGGATAACGAAGCTCCAAATTATCCAACGAGGGCATGTCTGTAATTAAGCATCACTCCGGGCTTCACCGGGGCCGGTGGCTCTGCTCACCCCGGGGACACAACCCGGGCGGCGGGGAGGCTCGTTATCCCTTTTAATCCCCTCATCCCTCTTAATGGGGGACACGCAGCCACCCGTGTCCCCCCCCCATCACCTAAAGGACATCAAGCCACCACCCGGCACTGGTGGGGATGGGGCAGCCACCAGCAAAAATTATTGGAGGGGGGGGATAACGAAGCTCCAAATTATCCAACGAGGGCATGTCTGTAATTAAGCATCACTCCGGGCTTCACCGGGGCCGGTGGCTCTGCTCACCCCGGGGACACAACCCGGGCGGCGGGGAGGCTCGTTATCCCTTTTAATCCCCTCATCCCTCTTAATTAGAGGAGGGGGTGGTGGGTACCGGTCGCTGTAGGGGGAGCGCTCGAAGACCCGCACGGGGTGGGGGGCGGCGGGGGGGGGCTCCAGCATGGCCTTCAGCCGGCTG